GAGGGTGTATCAAGGAAGAAGAGCAAGAGTTTGTGAAAAGACAAGTTGAGATGAGAGTACAGGAAAATGAAAATAGCTGGATGGAAGTAGAAACCTTAGCCAAGGACTAGAAATACAAGAGATTTAGGATTGCTGAGAATGAAGTGAGTGAGAAGTATTTGAGGAGAGGAAATGTTAGGAGATGTCTGCAGACCAAGCCAAATAGCTGAGGACGCCCATCCAAGAATCTGTGTTTAGGAACAAATTTCTCTCCAAGAAGAGACAGCATGCATTTGGCCGTGATATCTCTTGTGCTCTAATAATTCTCAGGAATGTGAGAGAGTGAATGAGTGGCGGTGGGGGGTAGGGGGAGCAGGAGCATGAGGAATGCCCAATAATTAGACTTGAACCAAGTGACGAGTATAGTTAGTATAGTCAAGTATAGTTTCATATACAAAGAAATAACAATTATGATATCAAGAAAGAAGAAAATATTTCTAAAAAAAACAAATAAATAATTATAAATCTACATGAGTATATAAATCTACATAAATCTATCTACACAATAGATAAAGTTGCAGTGTGCGATATCAATACCATAAAATGAGCATGCAATATTTATTTTTTGGTTTTATGGATACTTCATTTAAATTTTTAAGTGCACAGTACAGTCCTGTCACCCATGGGTGTTCCCAAGATTTCTTCTCTTCAAATTTTGCACAACAATCTCTAGAACTTATTCATCTTGCTTACCTAAAACTTTACACCTGTCGATTACAGCTCCCCACTTCCCTTTCCCTCCTCCTGCCCCAACAGCTCCCATTTCATTCATTGATTCTGTGTCTTTGACCATTTTAGATACCTCATATAAGTGGAATTATGCAATATTTGTCCATCTGTGACTGGCTTATTTCACTTAGCATAATGTCCTCAAGGTTCATTCACATTGTCATGTGTTGCAGAATTTCCTGCTTTTTAAAGAAATAATGCTATTCCATTATACGTATATACCAATTTTTTTTTTTAGCATGCACCTGCTGATTGACATTAAGTTGTTTCTGTATCTTAACTGCTATGAATAGTACTTATGATCATGGGAGCACAATATATCTCTTTATAATGCTAGTTCCAATTCTTTTGGATAAATGTAATTGCCAGATCATTTTGTAGTTTTTTTTTTTTTTTTTTTTAGTTTTTGAGGAAGCCTCATACTACTTCCCAGCTGTGCCATTTTGCATTCTCACCAACAGTGTACAAGTGTTCCAATTTCTCCACATCCCTGTTAATTCTTGTTGCCTTTTGGTGATGGTTTCTTGGAGCCTCTGATGGGAGATGCAAGGAAAAGGAACTGCAGACGGGATGATTGATTTGAAGGGAGGTCGAGACTCACTCAGGTCAGCGACCAGGCCTGACTTTACTCATTATCTTATATACTTTCAAACATTCAGTAAGAATTTAACACAGATACAAAGAAGTGACGTAAAATTAGGAAGCTACCATTAAGATTACAAATCAGTGTGAAGGCTGAGGAACACATATACAATTGATTTTGTTTAGAGTAAAAACATAAAGGAGACTGACTGTCTGTTCTTGCTGGCCCAAACCGAAACTAGAGATTATAATGTTAATGAAGGAAGAAGACAGAGAATAGGACCCAATGCTCGAGGACATGAATTCAAGCTTCCAGCTGCGACCCCAGTCTGACTCTCCAGATATCTTTTTCAAGAGTCTTTCTGCATTTTTCTGCATATCTATAGGCAGGTGCAGAAGCTCCATCTTTAAAGAAATCTTTCCCAGAGTCATTCTCCTGGAGGAGCACATTGAAGTGAACTGCCATGTCTGAGCATGGGATACTTATCTCTACATTTTGGGTTTTTTGTTAATAGCCATTCTGCTAGGTGTGAAGTGATTTTTTTTTTTTTTTGAGACAGAGTCTCACTATGCCACCCTCAGTAGAATGCCGTGACATCACAGCTCACAGCAACCTCAAACTCTTGGGCTTAAGCAATTCTCTTGCCTCAGCTTCCCAAGTAGCTATGATTATAGGTGCCTGCTACAACACCCAGATATTTTTTGGTTGCAGTTGTCATTGTTGTTTAGCAGGCACAAGCCGGGTTCAAACCCACCAGCTTCAGTGTGTGTGGCCAGCGCCCTACTCACTGAGTTACAGGCACCAAGCCTTTGTAGGGGTTTTGATTTGAATTTTCTCCATTGATTAATGATGTTGAACATTTGTTCATATACCTGTTGGCCTTTTATATGTCTTTTTTGGAGAACTGTCTGCTCAAGTCTTTAGCCCATATTTAATTTAGTTATTAAGGGGATTTATACTATTAAGTAGTAGGAGTTTCCGTTATATTTTTGAAGATTAACCCACTGCCTCTATTCAACATAGTATTAGAAGTCCTAGTCAGAATGATTAAGTAAGAAACATAAATAATTAAATGGTATCCTAATTAGAAAGAAAAAGAAGTAAAATTATCTCTATTCACAAATGACATCATCTTATATGAAGAAATTTTAAATTTATATCCAAACAAAAAACAGTCAGCACTAATACAGGAATTCCATAAAATTTGCTGTGTACAAATTCTTTATGCAAAATTCAGTTGGATTTCTGTACACAAGCAATGAACAATTCACAAGGAAAATTAAGAAAAAATTATATTTACATTAGCATCAAAGAAAATAAAATGCTTAGAAGTAGCTTGACCAAGAAGAGGAAATACTTGTAAATTGAAACCTATAAAACATTGCTAAAGGAAATTAAGGAAGACATAAATAGATGGAAAGACACCACATGCTTGTGGTTTGAAAGACTTAATATTGTCTTAGTATTGTTAAGATGATAATACTATCTACCTGAAATGATCTATACTTTTAATGCAATACCTATCAAAGTTCCAACAGTGGTTTTTGAAGAGATAGAAAACCCATCCTAAAATTCATATAAAATCTGAAAGGACCCTGAATAGCCAAAATAATCTTGAAAAGGAAGACCAAAGTTGGAAAACTCACAGTTTCTGCTTTTTCCAAAGGAACAGTAATGAAAACAGTATGGTACTTCCTTAGGGGCAGATATATAGACACATGGAATAGAATAGAGAATCCAGAAAGAAACCCTTGCATATATGGTCAAATGATCTTCTACAGGATGCCAAGACCATTCAAGGAGGAAAGAATTTAACATAAGGTCTTCAAGATTTATCCATGCTGTCACATATTGCAGAATTTCCTGCTTTTTAAAGAATAACAATATTCAATTCTGTGTATATACCACATTTTCTTCATTCATGCATTGGCTACTTGACACTAAGTTGCTTCTGTATCAGTTCAACAAATATCACTGAGGAAATTGCATACTGACATACAAAAGAATAAAGCTGGAACATTACCTAACATGATATACAAAAGTTAACTGTAAATGGATGGAGGATCTAAATGTGAGAGTTAAAAATGTAAAACTCTTAGAAAAATACATAGGGGATGAGCTTCATGACATTGGGCTTGGCACTCATTTCTTAACTAAGACACTACAACCACAGTCAACAAAAGAAAAAAATAGATAAATTTGGCTTTATCAAAATTAAAAACTTTTGACCAGGCACAGTAGCTCACACCTATAATCTTAACACTGGGAGGCTGAGGCGGGTGGATTGCTTGTGCTTAGAAGATCAAGACCAGCCTGAGCAAGAGCAAGACCCTGTCTCTACTAAAAATACAAAAATTTAAAAAAACTAGTCAGGTGTTATGGCAGGCACCTGTAGTCTCTGCTACTAGGGAAGCTGAGGTGAGAGGTTGCTGTGAGCTATGATGCCACAGCACTCTATCAGGGACAATGGAGTGAGACTCTGTCCCAAAAAAAGGAAAAAGAATTTAAAACTATCAAAGGACTCTTATCAAGTGATAAGATATATATAGATAGATATATCTTATATATATAAATGATAAGATTAATATCCAGAATACATAAAGAAATCCTACATTTCAACAATCAAAACATTATCTTAAAATGGGCAAAGGGACTTGAATACTCATCTCTTCAAGAAGATATAAAACAGCTATGAGCACTTGAAAAATGGTCAATATTATTAGTCATTGTATTAGAAATACAAATCAAACTGCAGTGTAATGCCCACTTGATGCCTACTAGCACGCCTATAATATAAAACAGTAAAAAATGACAAGTATTAAAGAGGGTGTGGAGAAATTGGTGCTCCCATGCATCGTGGTGGGAATGTGAAATGGTACAGCTGCTGAGGGGAGCAGTTTGGCATTTCCTGATAAGGTTAAACACGTCTCCCTTCATCTCTCCCTAATCCTCTCTTCATCTGGTCAGATCTCCTTAAAGACCTTCCTTAAGCATCCCACTCTCCACTCTCCCTTCTCACCCACTTCTGGTCATTTTTTTTATTAAATCATAAACACATAGATCATGTATACATTAATGCATTATGGGGTATAATGTGCTGGTTTTATATACAATTTGGTAAATATAGCCTTCACCTCATTTATTTAATTATTGTGTTAAGACATTTATACTCTATACTTAATAGATTAGACATGTATCCTTGCAACATGCACCATAGGTGTAGCCCCACCATTTACCCTCCTCCATCAAACCTCCCCCTTCCCCTCCCATCCCCCTCCCATCTCCCTCCTCTTCCCTTCTTCGTCCTGGGCTATAGTTGTGATTTATCATTCATATGAAAGTGTGAGTAATTGTAAATTGGTTTCATAATGGTACTGAGTACATTGTATACTTTTTCTTCTATTTTTGAGATACTTTACTAAGTAGGATATGTTCCGGCTCCATTCACCTCTCATTCTCACACTCTGCCTAGGCCAACACTGGCTGCTGGAGGGCCAGGGTATCAGCACTTCACAGGTGAAGTTCAAAGGTCCCAGTGCCCAGGAGCAGGTTCTAATATCTCGCCCCACCTGCCTGAAGCTGATGATTAACCCAGAGCTTATATAAAGATGGGGTCATCCCCAGGACAGAGAGAGCACCTCCTGCAGCCATGGCCAGCAAACTTAGCCCCAGCACCATGACTGGGACCCCAGATGCACCCGCATTGTCGGAGCGTATCCAAAACCCTGCAGACATCTCTGTGATTGTCATCTATTTTGTGGCAGTAATGGCTGTCGGGCTGTGGGTATGTGGGAAAACAGTGGGCTTTCAGGGTGGGCACAAGCTTCAATGGGAGGGAAAGGTATGGTGTGACAAAGGGGAGACAAGACTAAGAGCTTTCACAAATGTCTCTCTATTGGAACCATTTTCTTGTGTGTAACAGAAATAATGCTTACACCAAGTATATTCTTCTGACAACCCCATTGTGTGAACCTATTCGTTTCAGCATCCCTAGCATCCTGGTGTAATAGATATAAAGGAGTAAAGTCTTGTTATCTCATTTCTTTTACCTTCTTTTGGTGTTTGCTCAGTATCTAACCTGGTTGGTAGGACATTTAATCCTCTCTTTCATTTGAGAAATTAGTTTGAGGCTGCAAACTTTCTTCTAAGCACAGGTTTAGCCATCTCCCACATCGTTCAAGTCAATGAAAATAAACAGAGAAATTAGGATAGAAGTTGGAAAATGTGATTTCTCAAGTTCTTTCTGACTTGCATTCTATGAAATTATGATTTTTAAACTCCTTCTTAAAAGGGATGCCACATCACAGAATCCAGGAAAACATTTCTCTCTGGAGAGGTGTTGGAAAAGCTGCCCCTGTCAGCACCCTGGCCAGAGCATCTTGGCTGTCTTGGCCTCTGCCATGGTGTGACCCTCCCCTGTCTCCCCTTCTGCTCAGGCAATGCTGAGAACCAACCGGGGCTCCGTGGGAGGCTTCTTCCTGGCTGGCCGAGATATAGCCTGGTGGCCGGTAAGTGGGTCAGAGTATTCTGGGTATGGGTTTAAGAGTGAATATCAAAAACATTCGGGATGTAGTCATTTCTGATGTACAATGGTGGCCTCCTTGCTGGTAGTTCTTTTTCCTAAATCCCCAACCTCATGTCTTTGTCCCATGATTCCAGTAAATGACATACGGTACGTCACCACTCCAGAGAACAGGGTTAGTCTGGCAATTAAAAACACCCTTCAGTTCAGCTCCATCTCATATTCTCTTCCCCTACTCCCCCTCCAGAGTTCTCTCCCTGGCTCCTTCCAAGCCCCAATCTTGTTCCCAGTTCTGAGCTCAGTCTGCCCCTCTGAGTTGGAATTCATCCTTTCCCTCTTTCTGTTCTCCTCCATCTATACCTGACTCGATCTCTCCCTCACCTGAGGAGCCTCCCAGCTCACTCCAGCCTGCCCTGGGTGTCTAGTCCTTCCATCTTATGCAATTATCAGTAGTAGGTGGTGTTCCCTGGGATGGCACTAGAGGTGATGTATCTCTGACTCTTGCCTAGTGGGTGTTCTCCTTGCTAGGTTTCGATGTGTGGCCCACTCAGCGAAAGTCCAACAGCTGCAGAGGCCACTTCTTCCTCTCAGAACCTGGAACATGTCAGTGCTGGGTTGGATAGACTATGTGGGTGTTCAGATGCTTCCTTCACAGATCTGCTGACTTATTTTCTAAATATTTATAATTTAAAGGGAAGTGGAGATTGTCTGGGGTGATTGAAACAGACCAACTGCAAGGTTGAAATGAATTTGTAGGCCCGGTGCCTGTAGCTCAGTGGGTAGGGCACTGGCCACATACACCAGGGCTGGTGGGTTTAAACCCAACCAGGGCCTGCTAAGCAACGATGACAACAATAACAAAAAAATAGCTGGGCATTATGGCAGGCATCTGTAGCCCCAGCTACTTGGGAGGCTGAGGCAAGAGAATCACTTAGCCTAAGAGTTAGAGGTTGCTGTGAGCTGTGACGCCACAGCACTCTACCGAGGGCAACGTAGTGAGACTCTATCTCAAAAAAAAAATATACATGAATTTTTATTTGGAGTGCCCAGACAGACATTACCTTCTTAGGGCTGGCTTGTGAAACATTAAAGGCTCAACCCACCCCAAAGCCACAAAACAGCTCAATTTCATCTCCTGAATCAATCCCCAAATATATGAATAGAAAAGGTGATTTTACAAAGTTGAAAATGTAGGAACAGAAGAAGCACTGCAGGGTTCTACACCCCAGTTCTGTTCTGCCAGGATGGGTGTTAATCCATGGCCATTCAAGAGATCTGGGTAGGACTGGTGTGGTGGCTCACATATGTAAACCTAGCACTTTGGGAGGCCAAGGTGGGAGGATCACTTGAGGCCTGGATTTCAAGACCAACCAGAGCAAAAGCAGATCGAATCTCTATAAAAAAATAGAAAAATTAGCCATGGTGGTGCATGCGTGTAGTCCCAGCTATACAAGAGGCTGAGCCCAGGAGTTTGAGGTTACAGTGAGTTGCAATGATACCATTGCACTCTAGCTTGGGCAACAGAGTGAGATTTGGTTTCAAAAAGAAATGGAAAGAAAGAAAAACAGCAGGCAATGTCCTGGAAAGGGAGATGAATGAAAAGAGAGTCCCATCACTGGAAGGACAAATGAGAACTCCCTCCTACTTAACTTCAGGGTCTTTGAAGCTGATTAAAAGGGCAAGAACTGATAGGAGGTCTGGCAGTTCTTGGCCGAGGACAGGCTCAACTCAGAGAATTTAGGTAGATAAACCAATGTTTCCCTCACACAGGGCTCAACAAAGCATTTCTGTAAAAGACTAGGGTGGGATTATTTTAGAGATTGCAGGCCACATAATCTATTGCAACCATACAACCCTGCCATTGTAGAACAAAAGCAGCTATAGCCAATATGTAGACACTGAAATTTGATTCCTATAATTTCACAACTTCACATTTCACCAAAAAAAGTATTATTTGGATTTTTAGCCATTTCCTAATCCTTCAGAAATGTTTTTTTAAAAATCTTGATTTATGGATCATATAAAAACTGTTGATGGGCAGGATTTAGCCCACAAGCCATAGTTGGCTAACTCCTATTCTAAGGAGTAGAAGTTGAAACTTCATAACATGTATCTGTTTTGAAGAAGTCTGAATTGACTCTTTTAATTCTAATCCTAGTGCGTTCTCTTGCGTTCCAGATGGGAGCCTCTCTCTTCGCTAGTAACATCGGCAGTGGCCACTTCGTGGGGCTGGCTGGGACTGGAGCATCTTCGGGAATCGCCACTGTGACATTTGAATGGCATGTAAGTGACATCACAGGCTTTTTCCTTTAAATGAAACCCATAGCCAGTGTTTTAGTATTTTATCCTGCTGTTCCAGAATACCACTGGATACACAGTGTTTTATAAAAAATGGAGGTTTATTTCTTACTTTCCCAGAGGCTGGGAAATCCAAGGTTGAGGGGTCTGTATCTGATGAAGGTGTTCTTGCTGTGTTATCCCATGGTGGAAGATGAAAGGGGAATAGAGAGAAAGAGAAGGAGAGAGAGAGAGAAGGAGAGAGGGAGAGAGAGTGGAACTCATCCTTTCATCAGAAACCCACTCCTGCAATAACTAGCCCACTCCCTCACTGATCCTCTCATGAAGGCAGAACCCCCATGACCCGATCCCCTCTTTAACATCCCATCTGTCACCACTGAGGATTAAGCTACCAACACATGAAATTTCAAGTACACATTCAAACCACAGCATCCATGTATTTGAATCAAACCTATATCCCAGATTTTCCTGGGAATCCATATAGGATGCACCCCTCTTCAGTTTAATTTCTGTTTTTCCTTCTCCTAGTCCACTCCAGTTTGGTCTTCAGCCCTCAGTGGCCCCATTCTGCCTGGGCCATTCCAGTCACATTATTACTCACCTCTAAGCTTTCTCTTTTTTTTTTCCTTAATCAAATATTTTCCCCAGGAATGTCATTTCTATATGATTCAATTCCTGCTGTCACTTGATCTCCTTAACCACCTTAATTCTCGCTTTCTTATCTCTTCCCTGAGCTATTATACTCTGTGTCCAGCTCCAAACTAGACACAAGAAATTTTAAAAATTTAAAATTAAAGCAATGGCTACTTCGTTGGTGGAGCTTACATTCCATGAGGAGAGACAGACGGGCATTCACCGGAGTGCAGTGAGCACAGAGGAGAAGCATGCACTGAGGACTGAGTGGGTCATGGAGGGACACACACCGCAGGCCATGGGTAGGCTCAGCATGTGTCCAGGAGCCTGCTGGTGTGACACCAGAGGAGGAGACATTGTCCAAGTGGGGCCTGACCATGGCGATGACTGTGGAATAAGGAGTGAATGACTGAAAAGGTAATAGGCAGAATCTACAGGAATGTGTGATTGAGTTCCTAATTGTTCTATTCTCATTCCAACAGTAGAAGCTGTGTCCTTAGTGGATCACAGTAAACAGTTAAACAGACCACCCCTGGATGGACCCAGAAAGTGACCTTGAGTCACCACAATTGCCTGTGCCCCTCTCTTCTTGAGGATTTTTGCCCCTACTTTTAGTTTAGTAGTATCAGGGACTCCAGAATGGCCCCAAGCCTGCAGACATGCCCTGGGGCCAGAGTTTTATTCACCAGCATGAAGTCAGCCTCCAGAGGCATGGACAAAATGACCTATGGCCCAACTGAGTGAGATTCTCAGGCTGCAGAGAACTCAGCTACTCCTCTTTCAGCCTGTGACCTTGGCTTCCTTAATCTCCATAAGGCTTAGAGTTTCCCCCTTGATGACATAGAAATAATTGTTTATCTTATCTGCCTTCCCTGCTTGTTCTGAGAGTAGCACAAATGTGAAGATGCTATGTAGACATTGTATCTTAATGCTGGATTCTATTATTATCATTATATTTTCAAGACCTGGGGGCACTGGGGATATTCTTCTACTGACAAATTTATTTCTCATAGCTTCATCACTAGGTTTATTATTTCTTCCATTCAATAAAAATTCCTTTGACAAAGATTGTATGATCTTCCAGTGGTCCAGCCAGGATCAGATGTCTTATCTTCTGTCCCTTTTTCATGAGATATCTTTTGCCACCTCTGAAGCCTCAGAAAACGGTGACCTCTGAATCACAGAAACAGAAGAAAGAAATCCACAGTTGCCTGGGGATTATAATTATTGGGTGGGGGGAGTAGAGTTTTTTTATTTTAGATGCAGTGGTATACAGTGGCAAGGTCCATAAACCAAGCCTTTTTAACATTACTCTTTTTTTTTTTTTTTTTTTTTGCTTTCTTACAGTCTTCAGTGCTGTTGCTGGTTCTAGGGTGGGTCTTTGTCCCCATCTATATCAAGGCAGGGGTGAGTATTCACAGGCATTCTAGGTAAAACTGCCCGGCCTTCATTTATTCACTCATTCTTTAAGTCGAATCATGAAACTGGGGAACTGGACCAGCCTTTTCCTGGCCTTTGCTAAAAATAAGCAGGAGGCAAATATCAAATTCCTTCCTAGAGGGGCTGCCAGTTAGAATGCAGCTGTAGTCAAGTGAGCGATCAGTGGCGGCTTGCATAATGACCACTATGGTGGAGGTCAGCCTGGTACAGGGACACTGAAGTTGGGCCACCCCTCAAACTCCGAGTAAAGCTTCTCAAAGGTGACCTAAGTTGAGCCTTGAGGGATAAGAGTCAGTTGGATCAGGCTGGGTGCAGTGTCTTGATCCAACTGACTGTAATCCTAGCACTCTGGGAGGCTGAGGCGGGTGGATTGTTTGAGCTCAGGAATTTGAGGCCAGCCTAAGCAAGAGAGAGACTCTCATCTCTAAAAATTGCCAGTAATTATGGAGTACACCTGTAGTCTCAGCTACTGTGGAGGCTGAGGCAAGAGGATCACTTGAGCCCAAGAGTTTGAGGTGGCGGTAAGTTATGATGCCACAGGATTCTACCAAAGGTGACAAAGTAAGACTCTGTCTCAAAAAAAAAGAAAGAAAGAAGGAAGGAAAGAAGGAAGGAAGGAAGGAAGGAAAGAAAGAACGAAAGAAAGAAAGAAAGAAAGAAAGAAAAGTTGGATCGTGGAGAATTAGGGAAAACAACATAAGTAATCTGAAAAATCATAAAAGGACTTGAAGTATTTGGAAGCCAAGTAAAATTACAACTAAAATGTAGAGTGCCCAGGGTTTCTCGATCTTGGAGCTATTTACATCTTGCGCCAGAGAATTCTTTGTTGTGGGACACTGGCCTGGGCATTATAGCATGTTGAACAGCACCCCTGGGTTCTACACACCCAATACCAGGAGTACCAGCTATTTTCACAAGTCTTCTGTTAGGGGTTAAATGTTAAAATCACCACCTTTGAGAAACCATTCCTCCAATATCATTCTCCCCCAGATGTCTGGGCTTGCATTTACACCAATGCATGAAGTGCTGCCAGGTTGCTCTCAAGAATGGCTGCCAACAGCTGTCACTTCCCTGATGACTACTAGCTTGAGGGTTCCCATTTTCTCAAATCCTTGCCATGGCATTTTCCTTCATTCTAATCTTTGCCATTCTGATGGTTGTCATTTCAGTGTTTACCTAGGAATAGGATATACTACAGCCATGGTGGGGCCCCCTCAACCCAGGTATTGTCAACCAACTGGGGCCACTGCCCTGTCTCTCTGAGCTGGTGCCCACATTTATTCCTTCTGCTGCTATTGTTTAAGCCAGTCATTTTTCAACTTTTTTTTTAACCTCATGGTACACTTGAACCTATAGTTAAACTTTCACAGCACACTTAAATTATGTTGATCAAAAACAAAAAATAAAAAAAGAATAAACCTACTATGCTTTGAACATCTTTTAAAAAATTTAATTGATGATTTTTTTAAAAATTTAGAGCATACCTAAGATCCTATCATGGTACACCAGTGTGCTGTGGCACACCAGTTGAAAATCGCTGGTTTACATCACGGGTGCTATATTACTGCAGTGATTCCTGGGTTGAGGGGGCTTAGGGGCGATCCTTCTGGCTAGCACCCTATAGGCCTTTATATATTCTCTCTCTGCTTACCCCAGTTTCCTTACACTTTCAAACTTGAACAAGCTCTACTAAAAAATGCTGTCTTTGGTGCAAGAACTCAAGCATGTGTTCTTAAGCATCTTTCAGGGAGTCATTCCAGTTTCTGGTCCACCAGGAGTTCCCCCTTTTTATTTTTGATAACATTATGTAGATACTTACTTGACCTCCTTTTATACTGAGGCAGACCTACTTGTGGGCTTAATCTCTAGGAAGAACCCAGAAAGCTGCACCTTTTATGCAATCTGTCACAAAATCACTCTCATAGTTCACTGGCTATAACCACAGATTCTTCTCCAAGTAAAGGTGTAATGCCGTTCTCTTCCTTTCAATAAAAGCAATTAAAGATATACTCATATCCAAATGAATATTTGCAATTTGTTCAATTATCAATTTAGTGTGCAATTATAGTTGCAGCTTATTATTTACAATATTATGTTCACTGGGCTGCAACATTACTGGTGATAATAATAAAAATTATGTAGTGAGTGTCTACTAGGTATTTGATGTTGTGGGTACTTTATCCATGCCTTCATATGGAACTCTCTACCGTACAGATGAGAAAATGAAGATTCAGAGACATTGTCGTTTGCTAACAGCCACACATCTTGCAAACACTGGACCTGGGAAGAGATCCCAAGGTTGTCTGACTCTTACACCTATATGTTCATTCCAGCATTGCCACTCTCCCCAGGGGCTATGATTTCCTCTACTCCCCATCCCCTAGGTGCCAGGAACAGCACTTAACTGCTCACAGGCATTTGGTAAATGTTGAATAATCTGACTGTGCCGGGCTCTGCAGGTGAATCCCTGTCAACATCTGTCCCTGCAGGTGATGACCATGCCGGAATATCTCAAGAAAAGGTTTGGTGGGAAGCGACTCCAGGTCTACCTTTCTGTCCTCTCCCTCTTCATCTGTGTGGCTTTGAGAATCTCGGTGAGTTCATTGCTTCCTGGTGTTTAGCTTCAAGAGGTTTCCTGATGGGGCCAGAGTGCTGAGATCAGAGAGCTGGGTATGTAGACTATCAACAGCCTTTAAGGGGTCTCTCTACCAACTCTTAAAGGGAGGGACAAAGAAGCTTCAAAAACCCTATGTTGGCTCGGCGCCTGTGGCTCAAGCGGCTAAGGCGCCAGCCACATACACCTAAGGTGGTGTGTTCGAATCCCCAGCCCGGGCCCACCAAACAGCAATGATGGCTGCAACCAAAAAATGGCCGGGCATTGTGGCGTGTGGCGGGTGCCTGTGGTCCCAGCTGCTTGGGAGGCTGAGGCAGGAGACTCGCTTGAGCCCAGGAGTTGGAGGTTGCTGTGAGGGTGATGCCATGGCACTCTACCCAGGGGGATAGCTTGAGGCTCCATCTCAAAAAAAAAAAAAAAAAACCCTATGTTGACAGAGTTGACTTTCAAGTCATGAGAGGCTGCAGAGTGAAAGTCTACCTTCCCTCATCCAGGCTATGAAGACTTGGATGTACAGAAAGAACAAAATGTCTCACTGAAGTAACATAGCTGCTTAGTAGCTAAGAGGAGGGTTTCTCTGGTTTCCTGCCTTTTCCACTGCACAACCATCTTTTTATCCTTTCTCAGAGCCAATCCAGGTTTATATTTTCAGTTTTAGTTTGACTATCTGACATGTAAATGAGTACTTTATTGTTATTCTGACTTTTCTCAAATCTAACCTATTTTATCTCAGATAACACCTGTAAAATGGATGTCACAAATAAGTGTTAAAAGAATTTAAAAGTTTTCCAAAAGTTATATTGTTTGGAGATAATCAGGGATGAAAGAAAGGAATTTGAAGACTCAGCAGTACATGTGTAGTAAACAAAGGAAGTCATTTGCTCCTGTGTATCAGTGACTATTGAAATAATCTCAAGTTTACAGTATAGGCAGGTGTCTCAATATCCATGAGAGAAAAGCTGACCTTTACTATTGCTCTTCTGTTGAGCTGAGCTGTTGAAAGTGATCCAGCTGCTTAGATTAGACAGCATGAGCTTTCCTAATGCAACATGAGCATTTCCCAGCACTTACTGTGTACTATCGAGCTCTGTGTTAGGATGACAAAGATTCCTGAGCAACAGGAGTTCGTGGCTAAGGAGATAACAATTCTACACAAGAAATAATTAGCTTCTTGTGACAATACACAAAAAATACGTGAGAATCTGTGCTGGATAGAACGTATAGACAAGTACAGGAGATGCCCTGTGCACACCCAGGAAAGGGGATGGTCCTTTCTGGATGGAACTGAAGGTTGTCCTAACAGAGGGGACACATGAGCAGTCCCTGGGATGAGGAGGTTAGGAAAGGCAGAGGGAAACAGAGGAGACCATAGGTGTCAGGGCTTTGTGCCCACATGTTCCTCAGGTGGGCTGGGCTTACTCATCTCCCAGCTTTCCTCTGGCTCTGACACCTACCTACAGCTTTATGGCTCCAAAGAGCACCAACAGGTATAGAGACAGAATGACAGGTGCCAAAGAGGCCCCTGAAGGTTGCAGCTCCTGCAGTGGGGGGTTCTTGGTGGTGAATTAGGGCTGGAAAGTTGGTGAGCTGGGTGGATGGGGTGCAAGGAGGCTAGGAAGATGACCTGCAGTATCTGTGGTCAACTGGAAAGATTCCCTGGCAGGAGGGCATTCTCACTTGCAAGCTTTCATGTCACATCATATTAACAATGATTAATCTTAGACATGACCTTTTGTGTACTTCCATGCTCTGATAACAGACTCTATCCTGGTTACTTATTAGACAGACCAATGTAACAAGTCAGGACAGGATAGTTCTCATAGTTCTCCTCTGCCCAGGTTTGAAAAAGATCATGTTTCTCTCTGGCTCTCCACCTCCGAATATATACACCTACACACACACACAAAATCTAACAAGTTCATGAACTCATCCTAGAAAAAGTGCTACATATCTTATTGCTGAATATAATTATGGTCACCTTCAAAGTACTGCCCTTTGGAAGCTGGGCACTGACACCAGCACCTAGTCTACCTTTGAAAGCAATTTTGGAACTCCTTTTCTGGAATGACCATCAGAGCTATCGTTGTACACCATACAAAAATATGCAACAACAATAATGAAAACTACCCAGCAAGAAACCACCAATACACCAACACAAACACAACTATGAGACACTGATATACCAAGGTTATGAAGTCTTACCAAGTTGTTTGTATAGTACTGCCAATGTAAGAGCACAGAGGCCAAGTTCACAGACTTAATTGTCTGACCTCATGGAGAATCAACTGTAGCCACAATACTCCTTTATCCCTTAATATTTCAGTTTGTATTTCCTAAAAAACTTGATATTCTTTGGGCAGCACCTGTGGCTCAGTGAGCAGGGTGCCAGCCCCATATACCGAGGGTGATGGGTTCAAACCCAGCCCCGGCCAAACTGCAACAAGAAATTGGCTGGGCATTGCAGCAGGTGCCTGTAGCCCCAGCGACTCAGGAGGCTGAGGCAAGAGAATCACCTAAGCCCAAGAGCTGGAGGTTTCTGTGAGCTGTGATGCCACAGCACTCTACTGAGGGTGACAAAGTAAGACTCTGTCTCTTAAAAAATAATAATAACAAAAAAAATATTCTTTTAGAAAACCACCTTGCAAATTTTAAAATGAGAAAACTGACTTCTCCATGAATCAGCGGTCCTTATCCAGATTTTTGGATGAGAGTCTCATTTTTGTTGCCCTCAGTAGCATCCTGTGGTGTCACAGCTCACAGCAATCTCCAACTCTTGGGCTTAGCTGATTCTCTTGTCTCAGCCTCCTGAGTAACTGGGAATTCAGGTGCCCACCACAATGCCTGGCTATTTTTTGTTGCAGTTGTCACTGCTGTTCTACCTGGCTGGTGCCGAGTTTAAACCTGCCACTTGCAGGAAAGGGGGGTTCCCCACCACTTTGACTCTGTCATCCATTCTCTTCTGGCCTCCAAGGTGTCTTCTGAAAAGTCTCCTATGAATTTTATGGGGTTTTCTTTTTTGTTTTGTTTTTAATTTGAGACACAGTCTCACTCTGTCACCTTGGCTAGAGTGCTGTGGCATGATAGCTCACAGCAACCTCAAACTCTTGGGTTGAGCAATCCTCTTGTCTCAGCCTACCCAGTAGCTGGGCTACAGGTGTGCACCACCATACCTGGCTAGTTTTTCTATTTTTAGTAGAGATGGGGTGTTTCTCTTGTGCAGGCTGTTCTTGAACTCCTGAGTTCAAGCAATTCAACTGCCTCAGCCTCCCAGACTGCTAGGATTACAGGCATGAGCCATCATGCTCAGCTTATGAGGTTTTCTTTATTGGGGACCAGATGCTTTTATCTTGCTGATATTAGAATGTGTTCTTTCATTTTGACTTTAGACATTTTAATTATTATATACCATGGAGAATTTCCTTTTTGCATAGTATTTGACTGTGGGTCATTGAACCTCTATTTGGGATGTCTAAATCTCTTGCTATACTTAGAAAGTTTCATCTATTATTTTGTTAAATAGTTTTCTAAATCTTTTTATCACTCTTCACCCTCCAGAATATTGACAACTCATAAGTTCAGTCAGTCACTCTATATAGTTCCAAATGTTGCAAAGACTTTGTTCATTCTTTTTTATTCTTTTTTTAATTTTTTGTCTGACTAGATTATTTCAAAAGACTTCTTAAAGTTCTGAAATTCTTTATTCTCCTTGGTCTAATTATTGTTAAAGCTTTCTAATGTAGTTTGTATTTCCTTCAACAAATTTTTTAGTTTCAAATTTTGTTTGATTTTTTAAAAGTATTTATCTCCTGATAAATTTTTCATTCATTCCCTGAAATGATTTTATGTATTTTTAATATCCGTTTTTGGATTTCTCTTGCATCTCCTTTAGCTTCTTTAAAATCAATATTTTGAATTCTCTATCTGGTATTTTGAGGGTTTATTTTTGGTTAGGATCTATTACTAGAGAATATTGTGTCATATTTCCTTAACTTTTTTGTGTGTGTATGTGATTTCTGTGCCTTTACCTTGGTTTCTATGCATCTGATTAAACAGTCATTTCTTATTTTTTAATTTACTTTTGTTAGGAAAGGGGAAAATTTTCTTGCAGATGTGTCTATATTTGTTAGATAGGGACCCTTGGTTTTGCCTTTGCATATGTACAATAGTGAAGACTTTGCATGATTTCTTTGGCCACACAACATTAATAGTATCTAAGTTTTCCTCAGTGTTTTAGGGTGCAATTATTGGTGAGGATGGTGATAAAGTTGTGCTAGGGTCTGGAATGCCAGATTGGGCATGTCTTCAGGTTTCAATGGTAGCAATAATGGGCTATACATTTCTGTTCCTAAGACCTGGGCCAGTATATGCTGGCACCTGTGTTAGTTGTTCCAATAAGGTTGATTCTTGAGCCCTCTGAGTGGCTTTCAAGGATTCCAGTTATAGTAATAGCGTACCAGGTCGGTTAGTGGGCTTTCAAGCTTCTGGGCAGCCAAGGTGGCATGGGCAAAGGCAGTAGCAGCAGTCATGAGATGCTTTTCTAGCTCCCAAGCACTGTAGTTGCAATAGGCCATGTGGGTCAGCCTCCAGGTCAGTAGGTGGCATTTGCAGGAGAGTCAACTGCATGGTAGTGGTAGGATGTTTATGCCCAACTTCTGTTTCCCAAGAGGAGTGTTCAAGTGTGATGTGGGGAGTTGGTCCGTGGAACACCCAGAAGCCAGTATCTCATACTTTGTCTGGGGTTGAGGGGCCAAGCCAGGTGTAGCTAGACCAAACAAGCTTTCACTCAGGCTCCCCAGTGTTGAGTATATGCACTGGCCTTTATGAGGGCATGGAGTGATCCTCAGGCCTCTTGAAAAATGTGTGGGTGAGGGTAACCACTGCTGCACTGAGGTCTTGCCATGGGGAAGGTGTGATGGTCTCAGTACCCACAGCTTTGGCCACAGGAGTGATACTTGCATCTATGTCATTCCTCAGTCCTAGTTGGGCTCCCACTGTCCCCCTTCTCAGCTATTGCAGCTGACCCAGCTATTCATTCAGTCCAGGCAATTTATACATAGTCTGTAACTCAGCCCTGGGCTATCAGAACTGCTGCCACCCCTACCCTCTTTCTGCTCAGGTCCCAGGGAGAGGGAGTGCCCACTTCCTGAACCCTTGGCTGTAGCCAATGCCAACCTTGTTTCTCAGACCTGGTTGTCAGAGCCTATCCCTCACTTGAACCCCACTTCCATAAGCACCACCTGAGTTTCCCTAATAACTAGGACTGACACTGCTGGTTCCCAGGGATATGATTTTCCTAGGAACTAGGATCAAGAATGGTACCTTATAGCAGCTGCTTATGTCTCAAAAAAAGGCACAGAGCACTACCTGCAGCAGGTCTTTCTCACAGCCTCATGGCTACTCTCTGACTTCAGTACAGGCCATGGGAAGGTCAGGGTACCCACTCATGGCCTGGATTGTATAATTCTCCAATGGAGAAGTGGATACTTACTCATCCTCTCCCATACTGAGGATTAACTAGTGATTACCACTGGTCCCATCCAGTTGTGCACAGGCTTTTCTTTCTTCTGCTGCTGTTTTCTTTCTTCTTCCTAGATTTTAAAGCTTCCTTTCACTTTTCTGTTGAAGTTCAGTATTCCTTATTGAATAATGTATTCCAAGTGTGATCACATCTAGACACTATTTTAGTTCAAGTGGATAAGATGTGTTGGAAATGCTTCTGACATTTGTGTATCTATATGTATCTAAACATAAGTTTAGGATGTATAGATACACAAATGCTAATCATTGTGTTATAATTGTCTACAGTATTTAGTACAGTAACATGCTACCAAGGTGTATAGCTTAGGAGCAGTAAGACATATTATATAACCTATGTGTATAGTCAGCTATACCATCTAGGTTTATTTAAATACTCTATAATGTTCTTACAATAACAAAATCACCCAAGGACACAATTCTCAAAATGTATCCCCATGATTAAGAGATGCTTTGCCATCTATTTGACTTTAGCAGATAATATGTCTCCAACATATGTAAATTTACACTCTGACCAGCTACACATAAAGTTCATTTTGCTTTACAGACCTGTGAACACTTGGTGTTATCTGAATTCTTTTAAGTTTTAGCCATTCCTATGAGTATATGCTGATATCCCATTGTGGCTTTAATTTGTATTTCCTTCTATTTCTAGTGAGGTTGTGCACCTTCACAGGTAACCATTGGCTATATTCTTGAGAAGTGCCTTCCACATTTTTAGCACATTTCCACACCCTTTTGTTGTCTTTAATGATATTAATGTTTTGAAGAATAGCAAGCATATCCCACTCTTTCTTGCTGTAACAGTCTTCATTTCATATTTGTCTGATATTTCCTCATGGCTGGAGTCACATTATGCATTCTTGGCTAGAATACTACATAAGTGATATTCTGTCCTATTAAAAAGTAGCCTGTTGGAGTCCATTGCCATTAACATTAATGGCAACGTTAATTTTGATCTTCTGGTCAAGTTTTTATCCAATTCTTTCACTGTATGTTTACTGTTTTACTTTTTGCCTGTAACTAATAAGCAACCTGTGATGAGATAGTTGAAATTATTTAAAAATCCATTCCTCTTCAAAATTTTGCATTAGTTAACATTCATAGGTGATTTTACCTGATCTGGTCTTTACTATAATGGTTGCCAAATGACAATTTTCCAATTCTTGCATTCCCTCCATAGTTACCACTCAGCATATACTAAAGGCAAAAGTCTTCCATTTTTCTCTGTCTATCATTGATATGGACTTATAAATTCCTATTCATTATTGGTTTACAAATGAATATTACATATAATTATCTTGATATTCATAGTGTGCCAGATATGGCCTGTGGGAACTCCTTGAACTGGCTCCTATATAAAGAAAGTGAAATGCTCCCATCCTTTTGTTGAGCGATTTCTTAAATCTTGTCATAACAATCTGTTCCAGACTCATCTTGTACCAACTTTGTTCTGGGCCTGGAATCATCCATTTTTCTGAGAGATCCCTGGCTCCATTAAGTGGAGGAGAGTATTGGAGACCAAAAACTAGATGCTAAGTGTCCTCATTGGGTTGTCTTTTTTCTTGGCCCTTTCAATAGACAGAATTAGGAAATATAGGTATATATGCACACATATAAATGTACATGCATATATGCACACACATGTATATATTCTGGTGCTACTATACACCTACAGACCTATATTTTTAGAAATTATGAGTTCACACAAACACCTCCAATTACAACCCATCTCTATAAGATATTTATTACCCACAGATATAGAAGAGGGAGTAAAAATCATTGTTGAGGCTTTACTGGAAGGTATTGTTGTAGGGACATCTAAGTGGAGTCTTGAAGGACAAGTAGGTGTCTACCAGAAAAAGAAGGAGTGGAAGGAAGAAAAAGAGTGACCAGAGAAGCCAGTGGCCTGAAATGTGTGTTTCTTTCCCATGCTGACTATTCTCTTTTCAGTCAGACATATTTTCTGGAGCCATCTTCATCAAGGTGGCCTTGGGATTGGACCTTTACCTGGCTATCTTCATCCTCTTGGCTATTACTGCTGTTTACACCATTACTGGTAAGTCTTTTGCATATTTTGTTCAGTTATGCTGCCTCCTGCTAATCTCACCCCACCTACCATTAACTACCTCATGTTAGCCTTGTCATTGTCAAGGTAAGGACACCGTTTCGTTCCCACTGTGAAATACTGGCACAGCACCAGAAGCACAGCTAGAGCAAGTAAAAAAGAATCCTCCTTATCAGATGGGAGCACCTCAATGGAGGAAAATGATGTGGCAGATGGGATGGGGAACTGATGATTTACTTCAGTTCTGTGTTTCATGCCCAGATTGGCATTTAGAATTCAGCATAACATCCATATGGAAGGCTGCATGAAATAGCAGCTCAGATATGGCACTGGAAAATGCAAGGTAATGTTCAAATGAACACAGGATGCCATGGAGTGGCCTAGGGCTGGGAATGGCCCAGTCAGGGTAGAAGAACCAGAGCAGTGGGTTGGTAGTAGGGAGAAAGTGTGCAACAATAGTCCAAACAGGCTCTCACAAACCAGATATGTCAGTGCAGTGTCTCATGCATACTAACTTACCCAATAAACTACATCAGTTGAGTTGAGAAACATAAATGAAAAGTAACAGCTAGAAGGGGGCAGAGCAAGATGGTGTACCAGAAGGATCATTCAGCTGAACTCTCTTAGAATAACTGGGGAAAGAGAGAGAACTCGGCCATACCTAGTGAGGGGAACTTACCCAGAGTTGTAACTCAGGGAGCACAGTTAGGAGGTGGTGAGCTGGATACAGCACATGATCCAGAGTGGCGGAAATCTGATGAATTAGGCAAGTGATTGAGACCCACTGGGATCAGGTGGCCCACCACAGAGGTCCAGGACAGAAGGAAGCTTTTCTAGAGCTTTCAGGTGTTGAGGGAAGCTATGCATTGAGTGGAAAGTTTAGAAGAGTGGGCAGACTCAAACATTAAACATCAACCAGATTTGAATACCAGTTGGAGTGGTTTTGCCATAGGTTTGGGAGCTGGTGAGGCAGCCATACCAAGAAAGTCTCAGTGAACAGGGGCTGCCACTGTGGGAAGGTCATCAGAAGGTCTTAGCAAGGATTTAAACCATAGCCATTTTAATTCCACCTTCTGGGATCACACCTCCATTCTTGGGACAGGCTGAAGGACTCCTTCACCTCATGGGAACTGGAGTCAGGGGGCACTGTGAGACCTGCACCTGAAAGAGTCTTCTGAGCCTTAAGATCCCAACCTGACAGGATCTGAATGCTGAGGAAACAATCAGGCAATCACGCAACTAAGTTTGGAATAAAGACCATAGAGGTTGCTGGCTGTGTTGTCTGCCTCCTAAGGAAACCACAGCACCACCTGGTGTCCTGGAAACGTATTGTAACATATTCTCATCAAGAGCAAGGACTCCTGTTTTTTTGGCCATGAGGAAGAGTTTGGCTTTGTTCGGCTGAGGCCACTTCAGGACCTAAGCACTGAGACAAGGTAATTTGAAGCGAAGGAGGAATCGAGGAGGAAAAGGAGGTGAACAAGAAAAAAGAACACATGAGGAGGAAACAACAGAAAAATTCAGACAACATAAAAAACCAAAACAGAGCAACTCTCCCAAGGGACCATGAGGCAGCTATTGCAGATGACTCCATCTATAAAGAATTAATGGAGTTGACAGAAAGGGGATTTAAAATATGGGTGATAAAGACAATAAAAGGAATGGACAAGAAAATGGAAATACAGAACCAAAAGTCAGACGAAAGATATGTAGAATAAAGAAAAGATATGGCACAGCTTAAGGGAATGAAGGAGATGATCAGAAAGTAAAGATGCAGTAGAAAGTATCATAAATAGGTCAAATCATGGAGAAGAAAAAATCCTCAGAGCTAGAGGATAAAGTTTTTGAGTAAACTCATGTAGTTAAAGAGGCAGAAAAGAAGAGAGAGAAAGCAGAACAGGTACTTAGAGAACTACAAGACTCCATGAAGCATTCAAACATATGAATAATAGGGATTCCTAAAGGGGAAAAAGATTTTCCCAAAGGAACAGAAGCACTACTAGAGACTATCATAAATGAAACTTCCCAAGCTTTACTAAAGACCCTGAAACACTCCTTTCAGATGGATATCATGCCTTGGTCATCTCAACTCAAACAGAACTTCTCTAAAACACATTGTAATGAACCTATCCAAAATCAAGATGAAAGAAAAAAATCTCCAAGCAGCCAGGAGTAAGTGCCAACAGACCTACGGAGGCAGAGTCATTAAGACAACAGTAGACTTTTCAACTAAAACTTTCCAAGCCAGAAGATCATGGTCATCCATCTTCAACATTCTTAAACAAACAACTTTCATCCCAGAATTTTGTATCCTGCTAAACTAAGCTTTAAAGTTGATGGAGAAATCAAATATTTTGCTGATATACAAGCACTGAGGATATAAACAGCTCTACTGGAAATACTTAGACCTATTCTCAACACTGATCATCACAATGGACTACCAGCAAAGTAAACACCCACAGGCTATAGCTTCCATAATGGCACGAAGGATAAAACTACACAATGGACTTTCATAAAATAAGATAATAGAACTCCATCACACTTACTAATTCTTTCAATAAATGTCAATGGACTGAATTCACCAAAGAAGAGGCACAAGCTGACTGATTGAATAAAATAGCACAAGCCACTCACATGCTCTCTCCAGGAGACACACCTAGCCTTGAGGGACAAATCTAGTCTCAGGGTTAAGGGATGGAAAATAATATTTCAAGAAAATGGAAATAAGAAGAAAGGAGGAGTTGCAATCTTATTTTCAGATACAAGCATATTTAAAGCAACTAAAGTTAAGAAAGACAAAGATGGAAACTTATTACTGGTCAAAGGAACAACACAACACAAAGACATTTCAATTCTAAATATTTATGCACCCAACTTAAATGCTCCCACATTTATGAAACAGATCTTGATGGGTCTGAGCAATATGATATCTCATAACACCATAATAGCCAGGGACTTTAACACCCCTCTAACAGAACTGGATAGATCCTCTAAACAGAAACTAAAGAAGGATACAAAGGACTTAAATATGACCCTAGAATAAATGAGATTAATAGACATACACAGAACACACCATCCCAAAGCTAAAGAATATATATTTTTCTCATCAGCCATGGTACATACTCTAAAACAGACCACATCCTAAAATACAAATCAAACATTACCAAAATTAAAAGAATAGAAATTATACCTTGTATCTTCGCAGACCACAGGGCAATAAAGATGGAACTCAACTCAAACAAAAATAGCAATCCTCACACAAAGACTTAAAAATTAAACAACCTTATACTTAATAATAGTTGGGTTCAGGAAGAGATAAAAGAGAAAATAGTTAAACTCCTTAAACATAACAACAATGAAGATATAAATTACTAAAACCTGTGGGATATAGCAAAATCAGTCTTAAGAGGGAAATTTATCACATTAGATGCCTACATTTGAAAAAAAGAAAGAAAGCATATCAACAAACTCATTAACTGTCTTACGGAACTGAAGAAAGAAGAAAAACCTAATATCAAACCCAGCAGAAGAAAATAAATAACCAAAATTAAATCAGAGATTAATGAAATTGAAAAACAAAAGAATCATTCAGAAAATTAATGAAACCAAAAGCTGACTTTTAAAAAAAATAAATAATATTGATAAACCTTTGACCAGATTAAATAGAAACAGAAAAGTAAAATCTCTAATAACCTCAATCAGAAGTGATAAAGGGAAAATAACTACAGATGCCACAGAGATACAAGAGATCATCTCTGAGTACTTCAAGAAACTCTATGCCCAGAAATTTGACAATATGGAGAAAGTGGATCAATACCTGGAATCACATCCTCTCCCTAGACTTAATCAAAAAGAAATAGATCTCTTGAAGAGACCAATTTCAAGAACTGAGATCAAAGAAACAATAAAAAAAAAATCTCCTAACCAAAAAATGCCCTGGTCCAGATAGCTTCATATCAGAAGTCTATCAAACCTTCAAAGAAAAGCTTATTCCCATTTGGCAGAAATTATTCTAAAAAATTGAGAAGGAAAGAATCTTCCCCAACATGTCCTATGAAGCAAATATCACCCTGATACCAAAATCAGGAAAAGACCCAGTTAAAAAGGAAAATTTCAGACCAATTTCACTAATGAATATAGATGCAAAAATACTCAATAAAATCCTAGCCAATACATCACAGCTACACATTAAAAAAAAACTTTCGTCATGATCAAGGATCCCTAGGATGCAAGGTTGATTTAAAATAAACAAGTCCATAAACGTAATTCACCATATCAACAGAAGGAAAAACAAAGACCATGTGATCCTCTCAATACATGCATAAAAAGCATTCAGAAAAATTTAGCTTCCTTTTCTAATTAGAACACAAGAGTGTAGGCATAGGTGGCACATTTCTTAATCTGATTGAAGCCATCTACAACAAACCCATAGCTAATATTATACTGAATGGAGTGAAACTTAAAGCTTTTCCACTTAGAACTGGAACTAGACAAGGTTGTCCTCCATCACCACTACTATTCAACATAATGCTGGAAGTTCTAGCCAATACAATCAGGCAAGACAAGGAAATAAAGGGCATCCAAATGGATGCAGAGGAGGTCAAACACTTCCTCTTTGCCAACAGTATGAACTTATACTTGGAGAGCCCTCAAAGACTCAACTGCAAGACTCCTGGAAGTGATCAAAAAATAGGGCAATGTATCAGGATACAAAATCAATATCCACAAATCAGTAGCCTTCGTATATGCCAACAACAGCCAAGATGAGAAGCTAATTAAGGACACAATTCTCTTCACAGTAGCTTCAAAAAATATGAAATACCTAGGAATAAACATAACAAAAGAGGTGAAGGACCTCTACAAATAAAATTACAAAACTCTAAGAAAAGAAATAGCAGAAGAAATGGAAGAACATACCATAATCATGGCTGGGAAGAATCAACATTGTGAAAATGTCCATACTTCCCAAAGCAATCTACAGATTCAATGCAATTCCCATTAAAATACCATCATCATACTTTCAATATTTAGAAAAAATAATTTTTTATTTTTTATAGAATCAGAAGAAACCCTGTATAGCCAAGGCAATTCTATAAAAATAAAAACAAAGCCGGGGTATCACCCTACCAGACTTTCAGCTATACTACAAGGCCATAGTGATCAAAACAGCATGGTATTGGCACAAAAGTAGAGATATTGATATTTGGAACCAAATATAAAACCATCAGATGAAACTAACATCTTACAGCCACATGATCGTTGATAAACCAAACAAGAACAAACACTTGGGAAAAGAATCCCTATTCAATAAATGGCATTGGGAGAACTGGATAATCACATGTAAAAGCCTGAAACTGGACCCATACCTCTCACCACTTACAAAAATTGATTCAAGATGGATAAAAGGTTTAAATCTAAGGTATGAAAAAATAAAACCTTCAAAAAAAGTTTGGGAAAAACACTTGAAGATATCGAACTGGGGAAAGATATTAAGAAGAAGACTTCTGTGGCAACTGCAACAACACAAAAAATAAACAATTAATTAAACTTAATTAAACTGAAAACTTCTGTACAGCTAAGGAGACAACAACCAAAGCAAACAACCTTCAGAATGAGAAAATATATTTGCATATTATGAATCAGGCAAAAGCTTGATAGCTAGGATCTATAGAGAACTCAAATTAATCCAACAAAAAAAAAAAGACCCAACAATATCATAGACCACTGGGCAAAAGACATGAATAGAACCTTCTCTGAAGAAGACAGATGAATGGCTAACAAACATATGAAAAAATACTCAATGTCCCTAATCATCACAGAAATGCAAATCAAAACTACCCTGAGATATCACCTAATTCCAGGGAGAATGATCCACATCACAAAGTCTCAAAGCTGCAGATACTAGTGTGTATGTGGAGAGAAGGGCACACTTTTACACTGCTGGTGGGACTGCAAACTAGTAAAACATTTTTGGAAGTATGGAGAATCTCCAAAGAACTCAAATTAGACCTCCCATTGGATCCTGCTATCCCATTTCTGAGCATCTACCCAGAAGACAAAAAATCATTTTATCATAAGGACATTTGCACTAGACTGTTCATTATAGCTCAATTTACAATCACCAAAATGTGGAAATAGCCTAAATACCTACCAACCCAGGAATGGATTAACAAGCTGCAGTGTATTTTTACCATGGATTACTATTCAGCCATTAAAAAGGATGGATACTGGATGGCACCTGTGGCTCAAAGGAATAGGGTGCCGGCCCCATATGCCAGAGATGGCGGGTTCAAACCTAGCCCTGCACAAAAACTGGAAAAAAAAAAAAAAACCTGGATTGAGTTGGAACACATTAGTAAAGCATCACAAAAATGGAGACACAAGAATCCTGTGTACTCAATTCTAATATGAAAGCAGTAGATGAGCTAATTCAAGGGAAGGGTATGGGAATGAGGGAGCCAGTAGAGGGGAGAATGGGGAGTCACGGTGTGTGGCACACTTCTTGGGGGTGGGACACAATTATATGAAGAACTTTATCTAACAAATGCAATCAGTATAACCTAATTCTTTGTATCCTCAATGAATCCCAAGTAATGAATAAATAAATAAAACAGCTAGAACACTCAAAACAATTCTAGAGCCATTTTCATACATTGAACTGCAAGCCTAAAATAAATGGGCTGACTCTCTAAGAGTTTATTCAGGAACAGCAACAGATTGCAATCTAAGATAAGTATGCTGTGGTGCCCATAGGCAATCCTGATGGGGTTGGAGCAAGGAGAAACTTTCAAAGATAAAGAGGGAGAGTCCACATAAGTGGTCTTGAAACAAAGACCACTGGGTACAGGGGCTTATTGCAAGGAGTGGCACTTGATCACTGGTGGTACTGGCTGTTGCTAAGAGAAGGTGTTCAGAGAAGTGGCTTAACTGGAAAGTCCCAGTTGGAATACTTACTTGTGACAGGCATAGGTGCATGAGTACCCTGTTTTTAGGATTGGCCTTGTTTCCTCATGACACTCTCATAAAGGAAATATATTGTTGACTGAGAGTTTAGTGAGCCTAGGATTGAAAGAGAAATTTGAAGTGTCTTTATACAATATTGTAGCAAAATACCAGTTGATTACTATACCCAGTATTGAATTAATAAAACAGTAATAGATTCCAACACTAAAGCAGAAGCAGTTTTGCTAGGATTTTTTAGAGCAGGTATACTGTTCTAAATGGGAATGAATTGAGAGATGGCTCAGGAAAATTTAGTGGTATTCATGTTTTGCTTTTTCCCTCCCTAGTAGTCAGAAACTCACCTAATGATGGAATTTCTTTATCATTCATAGAAACTCTGAATCAGTGAAAGGCAAGGGAAATAGGAGAACCAATGAAAGACACAAATACTAAGGAGATTATGATGCCAAAACAAGTTTGAGGCTCAGCCCAGAACTTTTGATGTGTTTCCTGTTGAGTCATTTCCAGGATTTGGGTGTAGAGAACCCAAAGATGAAGGCAAATACGTGGGTACACCTCTATAAAATGCCCTGGGGGTTTTTTTCTCTCAACAGGGGGCTTGGCCTCAGTGATTTATACAGACACCCTCCAGACCTTCATTATGTTGATTGGATCTTTTATTCTCATGGGATTTGGTAAGTGAAGACAGTGTGTGTACTTCCCAAGGGCCAGAAATCATGGGATTTGTTCCTGTTTAGTCTGTTTGCCTGCCTCTCAGGTCTACCTGGCCACATTTTCTAAACATTTGTATAATTCCCATCACTGAAATGTCTACTTGACTTTCTTTATTTCAACATGAGGAAATGAGGGAACAACTTTACTTCCTTTAAAAAAATGATTGGCTTGGTAAATTATCTTGTTTAACAATTTTTTTACATTCAGAACAGAGTAAATCAGGACCATTGGGTTGATAATTTCACATAAATATTGGTACATTGGATTCAAAGCCTAGAAACCTTTCATTTATGTATAATTTTCATGAAATGGAGAATATTAGGAAATATTAACAAAATAAATATTAACCTCATTTTTACTGTTTTGGTTGGAAATCCATTAAAATACGTTACTCAGTCTGTTATCAGAATATGCAAATGTAGTTTCAGTTTTCCTTATTACATCTTTGCATAGGAAATCATCCACACAGTAAAATAGATATAGGATGACAATAGATGCCTCTTTCCTGTCCTATAGCCACTATGCTCCACACACTTAAGCTATGCTGTATACAACAATCCTGAATATACATGCACCTAATCCCAGAGCTTGAAGATATGGGGAGCAAAGCCTGAAAATACAAACACAAAAATCCACAATGATAGTTGGTGATGTCAGCACAATATGGATGACACTAGCCACATGTAAATACTTAAATTAAAATTAAAAATTCAGTTTCTCATTCACCTAGTCATATTTCAGGAGTCAATACATGGCTAGTAGCTACCATATTGGATAGTGCAGACATGGGATGGTTCTGTAATTGCAGAAAGCTTCTATTGCACAGTGCTACTCTGGGGGTAACTGCTAGTACCAATTCATTGTGTACTTTCTGTTTCTTCTCATTTATTTTTTATTTCCATATATACATGGGGTACAAGTGCATTTTTGGTACATTGATCTATTGCCTTGTGGCGAAGTCAGGACCTCCAGTTCATACACAACTGAAGCAAAACACACTGTCCCCAAGATCACCCCACCCCATTTTCCCCATCACTTTGAGTCTCTACTGTCCATTGTTCTACACTCTGCTTCCATGTGTACACATTATTTATCTGCCACTTGTAAGCAAGAATATGCAACATTTGTCTCTGTGTCTGAGTTGTTTCACTTGACATAATGACCTCCAGTTCCATCCATATTTCTGCAAAAGACACAATTTCATTCCGTTTATGGCTGAATAATATTCCATTGTGTATGAATACCATATTTTCTTTATGAAGTCATCTACAGATGGACACTTAGGTTGATTCTATACCTTTGTTATTGTGAATACTGCTGCAATAAATGTATGGTTGCAGGTATCCTTTTTACATATCGATTTCTTTTCCTTTGAGTAGATGCCTGGAAGTGGGATCACTGAATCATGTAGTAGTTCTAGTTTTGGCTATTTGAATATTCTCCATACCATTTTCCATAGTTGTACTAATTTATATCCCAACAATGTATGAGTTTCATTTTCTCTGCATCCTCACCAAGATCTGTTATTTTTGTCTTTTTAATAATAGACATTTTGGTTAGTGTGGGATTATATCTTGTGGTTTTAATTTGCATTGCTCTGATGATTAGTAATGTTGAAAATTTTTTTATATGTTTGTGGAACATTGGTTTATCTTCTTTTGAAAATACCTATTCATATACTCAGCCCATATTTTCAAGGGGTTAATTGGGTCATTGTTGTTGTTATTGTTGTTGTTGTTGTTGAGTTGTTCAAATTCCATGTAAATTCTAGATGTTAGTCCCATGTCAGACGTATAGTTTGCAAATATTTTCTCCCATTCTGCAGGTTCTTTGTTCATTCTGTTGATTTCTTTCACTGTACAGAAACTTTGGAATTTAATTACGTTCCATTTGTTTATTTTTATTTTTGTTGCCTGTGCTTTTGAGGTCTTAGTCATGAATTCTTTGCATATAGACCAATGTTCAGGAGAGTTTTCCTAGGTTTTCTTCTAGTATTTTTATAGTTTCAACTTTTACAGTCAAGTCTTCAAACCATCTTGAGATGATTTTTTTATATGGTGAGGGAGAGATATCAGGTTTCATTATTCTGTGTATGGCAATTTAGTTTTCCCAACATTACTTATTAAAAGGGATGTCCTTCCCCCAGTGTATACTCTTGTTGACTTCATCAAAGATCTGTTGGCTGTAGGTATGTGGATTCATCTCTGGGTTCTCAAATCTGTTCCATTGATTTAAACCTGTACCACAGTGTAAATGGTTACCATTGGTTACTACAGCCATGTAGTATAATTTGAAGTCAGGAAAGATGATGCCTCCAGGTTTATTCTTTTTACTCAAGATTGTTATGGCTATTTGTCCTCTTTTTTGGTTCTATATGAACTTTATAATTTTTTTCTGATTCTGTTGAAAATGATGCTGATATTTTAATAGGGATTGCACTAAATCTGTAAATTGCTTTAGACAGTATGGTAATTTTAACAATATTAATTCTTCTGATCCTTGAGCAAGGAATGCTTTCTCATTTGTTTGTATCTTTTATAAATTCTTTCATCATTATTTTGTAGTTTTCTTGGTAGAGAACTTTTACTTCCTTGGTTAAATATATTCTTCAGTATTTTTTTTTTTTGCAATTATTGTAAATGAGATTACCTTCTTGATTTGGTTCTTACCAGATCATTATAGAAATGCTACATTGATTTTTTATCCTGAAACTTTACCGAATTCATTTATCAAATCTAAGAGTTTTTGGTGGAGTCTTTAAAGTTTTTCAGATATAAGATCATATATCATCAGCAGGCAAGACTAATTTGACTTCCTCTTTTCCAATTCAGATGTCTTTCATTTTTTTCTCATTACTTTAATGAGGACTTCCAATACTATGTTGAATAATAGTGGTGAAAGTAGGCATCCTTGTGTTATCCCAGTTCATAGGGGGAATGTTTTCAACTTCTCCTTCTTAAGTGTGGTACTAGGTGTGGGTTTGTCACATGTGGTCTTTATTATTTTGAGGTGTATTCTTTTAGTGACTTGTTTGTTTAGGATTTTTATCATGAAGGAATGGAGAATTTTATCAAATGTTTTTTCTGCATCTATAAAGATGATCATATGGTTTTTGTCCTTAATAATATTTGTGTGATGTTTCATACTTATTGATTTGTATGTGTTGAACAGTCTTTGCATCCCTGGCATAAAACTCACTTATCATGATGTATTATCTTTTTTTTTTTTTTTTTTTTTTGAGACAGAGCCTTAAGCTGTCCCCCTGGGTAGAGTGCTGTGGCATCACAGCTCACAGCAATCTCAAACTCCTGGACTAAAGCAATTCTCTTGCCTCAGCCTCCCAAGTAGCTGAGACCACAGGCGCCCGCCACAAGACCCGGCTATTTTTTTTATTTTTGGTTCCAATTATCATTGTCATTTGGCAGGCCCAGACTACATTCAAACCCACCAGCTCTGGTGTATGTGGCTGGCCCCTTAGCTGCTTGAGCCACAGGTGCCAAGCCAATGTATTATCTTTTTGATGTGCCATTGGGTTAGAGCTGCTAATATATTGATGAGGAATTTTACATCTACATTCATTAGAGATATTGGTCCATAGTTTTTTATTGTCTTTGTCTGGTTTTGATATAGCATGAATTAGGGAGAATTCATCCTTAATTTTTTGCAAAAAATTTAGGAGAATCAGTATTGTTCTTCTCCCCCCACACACACGTTTGGTAGAATTCAGCTGTAAATCAATCTTGTCCTGGGCTTGCTTGGAAGGGGAGAGTTTTATTACTAATTCAGTCTCACTACTCATTATAAGTCTGCACAGGAGTTCTATTTCTTCCTGGTTCAACTTCAGAAAGTTGTATGTTTCCAGGAATTTGTCCATTTCCTCTGGGTTTTCTACTTTATGTGGTATAGTTGTTCATAATGGTCTCTGATGATCTTTCTTTTCTAGGCATTAGTCATAATATCTCCTTTTTCATTTCTGATTATGTTTATTTTGATTTTCTTTCTTATTTTCTTGGTTAGTCTAGCTAGTAGTGTATCAATTTTGCTTTTCCTTTTGAAGAACTAACTCTTTTTTGATTCTTTATTTTGGAGTTTTTGAGGGGGGTCTCTATGCATTTGCTTTTTTCTGATCTTTATTGTTTCTTTTCTTCTGTTAATCCTGGGTTTGGTTACTCTACTTCCTTAAGGTACAATGTCAGGTTGTTAATTTGCAGTCTTTCTACTTTTTTGACATAGGCATTTAATGCTATAAACTTCTGTCTTAGAACTGTTTTTTCTATATATCATGGGTTTGGGTATGTTTTGTTTCCATTTTTATTCATTTTGATTCTTTTTCTAATTTTCATCTTAATTTTTTTCATAGATGCAGCATTGTTCAGGAGCATGTTGTTTACTTTACATGTACTTGTATATTTTGAAGTTCCTCTTTTTATTGATTTCTAGCATGATTTCCCTGTGGTCTGAGAAGATAACTTGATATGATTTCAATTTTTTTAATTAATTAAGACTTGTCTGTAATATAAGGTCTATCCTGGAGAATATTTCAGTCCTAATGAAAATAATGTATATTCTATAGTTACTTTGTACAAAATTCTGTAAATGTATATTAAGCTCATTTGTCTAAAGCCCAATATAAGCCCATTGTTTTTTGTTATTTTTATATCTAGATGACCTTTCTAGTGCTGTGAGATTTTTTAATCCCCCACAATTATTGTGATGCTATCTGTCTCTTTCTTTAAGTCTGGTAATATTGTTTTGTGAATCTGAGAGCTCTGATTTCAGGTACATATATTTAGGGTTCTTATATGCTCTTGCTGAATTGATCTCTTTATCACTGTAGGATGACTTTATTTGTCTTTGTCTTTTCTTATTGTTCCTTTTATTTAAGATCTGTTTTACTTCCTCAGTCTCCACAAACCCCACCCCACCAAGAAAGTCATGCTTGCACCATCTTGCACACCCC